TTCCCAAAATGCAGCCCAGAAATATTCCGAAATTCAGCCCTGAAACATCCCAAAATGCAGCCCAGGAACACCCTGAAATGCAGCCCAGAAATATCCCAAAATACAGCCCAGAAATATCCCAAAATGACCTCCAAAAATCCCCAAACACCGCTGAGATGCCTGAAACATCCCAAACCACCCCAAATGATATCCTAGAAAACCCCAAATGCTGTCCTAGAAGACCCCAAAGCTTCTCGAAACAGCATCATGAAATCCTGCCCTGAAATACCCCAAAGTACCCCAAAATGCTTCCCCAGCACCTGAGATGCCCCCTAAATGTCATTTTGAAATGCTGCTATCAAAACACTCCCAAAGGCCACAGCAATGTCCCAAAATGTCTCTAAATGTCCCCAAATGCCACTCAAAAACATCACCACCCTAAAGCGGCACAAAACACCCCAAAATGCTGCCCTGGAATATTCCAAACTATCCCCAAATGCTCTTCTGAAACACCCCCCAAAATGCCACCCTGTCATGTTCCAACCACCCAGTCCCCTCACTGAAATCACCCAGAAATCCCAAAATGTCACTTTTCAACCCCTAGAAATACCCTAAAACACCTTCTTAAAATAGTGACCAAAAGAGGAGAAAATAGAGAATGAAAAGAGGGGAAAGAGGGGAAAAAAGGAAAAAGGGAAAAGAGGATAAATGAGGGAAAAAAAGGGGTACAGAAGAAGATGGAAAAAGGGCAAAAAGGGGGAAAAGGGGAAGAAGTGGGAGAAGGAAAATTTGGGTAAAAGGGGAGAACTAGAAGAAAAAATGAGAAAGAGGGAAAAGAAGAAAAATGGAGAAAGAGGAACAAAAGAGAAGAAGGAGATAATAGGGAATAGGAAAAGAGCCAAAAGAGGGGAAAAGGAAAAATCAGGAGAAAAGACAAATAGGGAAAAAGAGAAAATGTAGGAAAAAGGGAGAATGAAGGGGAAAATGGAGAAAAGGGCAAGGAAAGCAGAGAAAGGGAAGAAATGGAGGAGAAAGACAAAAAATGGGAAAAAATAGCTGAAAAGTGGCAACATTGAGAAAAAGGCCAAAAATGGGAGAAAAGGTCAAAAATGGGGGAAAGGCACAGAAAGAAATTAGAAATTTTCTCCCCATCTGAGGCAAGACCCCCATTTTCCCATCAGAAATGGGTTCAGTCCAATTGGTGCCTCAAAATCACCCCAAAACCATTTGTCCCTTTTCCAGCCCCAAAACTGCTCCTTTTTGGGATTTATTCTATTTCCCTTTACACCAGGGCTGAATTCCCTTTGGAATTACAGATTTCACAAAGGAACACACAAAAAATGCAGATGCCAAACCTTAAATACTTATTTTTTAAACAAAGCACTGCAAATTAGTAATTATTCCCTCAAATTTGATTTTTTTTTTCTCTGCTCTTAAAGGACCAGCAGGCCAAGACCAGCAGTGATTTCTGAGTTAATTATGGCAAGAAATGGTTAAAAACTCTGGAAATGCATTGCCTGTGAGGCCATGGCCCCTCCCCCAGCCTGCACACAGGGCTCATTCAAAGAAGACTAAAAAAAAAAGCCCTGTTTTGCCCAAAGTGACCCAAAAAAGACACAATAAGTGGCACAAAGCGGTGACAGCGCGGCAGCCCCGGCGCGCAGCCAAGCTGCATTTTGCTCTCAAAAACCACGAATTTGACAAATTGCAAAAATCACTGCAGCCTCAGTGGGTTTGGGGGAAAAAAATTCAAACACAAACCAGCAGATTTGGGGGCTTTTTTGGGTTGAATGTAACTCCTTTGCTTGGTGAGAATGAGGGTTAATGATTTTGGAATAATCCAAATTAAACAGACAAAAAATCCACTAGAAATGTGAGAGTGTGAATCATCAGGAGGAAAAAGGCCAAGGATTTGCAGGAAAAGAAATGGCATTTTTGGAACAAAACAAGGTTTTTAATGAAACTGTAGGATTTAACACAAAGGCACAATAATAACTGGGGAGCCTGGGGGGACTTGGCCGTCCCCTAGCATGGTACAGAGGGGGTCTACTCACACCTTACTCAAGGTTTATGTTCAACCCCTGGGGCTTTCCTTGCACAGACAGAGCTTTGGCTCCTTGCAATGTGGCACGGGACACGCTGCTCTTCCTCCTCATAGGCTGCTACTCCAGGGACCTCACACTGCTACTCCCAGGATCCTACACAGCTACTCCAAGGAGCTGTATGATCACAGCACAGTCCAGGGGATGACTTGCATTTGATAGGCTCATAGAAGAGCACAAGGATGTCTAATGGGCAGTGGAGTGATGTTACTCATAAGATACTACACCACTACTCTGAAGTGCTACACAGCCATGTTGTGTGCACGCTCTGGGAAAGGGGAGTGTTTAATGACCATGACAGGATCCGTGCAGGCTCGAGGGTCTACTTATAGAATGCTACACAGCTACTCAAAAGATACTACAGAGACACTCAAAAGATACTATGCAGCTACTCAAAAGATGCTACACAGCTATTCCACGCTGCTGCACTGTGCTGTGATGCCAGGGGCCGAGCTCCACGTGGGCTGTACCTTGCAAGGCAGCACGCAGACCCTTACTCACAGGATACTACAGGGAGTATGGCGCGGAGCACGGCCGTGCTGCGGTGCTGGGAGGTTGCCTGCCCTG